TAGTACCTCTGAACTCCCCTGCAGAGTATGCTAGGGCTCTCCGGCTGGGACCGAAGGGTGGTGGTGTGGCAGCCATCGTCGATGAGATTCCATACGTCGAGATCTTCTTGTCTGCCTACTGCCAGTTCAAGATCGTGGGTCAAGAGTTCACCAAAAATGGATGGGGATTTGTAAGTATCTCGATCCAAGAATGCAAGCATCGTTACCCTCTGTTAACATCAACACATCTTTATGGTAACAGCAGCTCAGGATTCATTGGCACTCGAAGCATTACTCTTTTCTTTTAAGAGCAATTCCAGTATCATTTGAACTGTTTTCTTCATTTCAGATTCTCTTAGCAAGTCTTCATTGTTATATGGCTACGAAGACGAACGAACAAACATGACAAGTGCAAATAATGAACTCCCAAACAAATCTCTATCATCTTCTTGTGTGAAAAGTGAAGCTTTACATTACGACAATAGTCGAGATGTGAACCTCTACTCGATATTTCTGAAGGCTACTTTCATGAAATAAGTTCAACCAAGAATCGATTAGTACGATGTAGTCAGTCTGTCATGCAACATCCTTTGTGCGGATACAGTTTTGTCGAATCTATAGAATTTTAATGTGGACTTGAATTTTCATTCTCCGACAGGCATTCCAGAGGGACTCTCCTCTTGCGGTTGACCTGTCCACTGCAATCCTGGCACTGTCCGAGAATGGCGATCTCCAGACGATCCACGAGAAATGGTTGTCGCGTGCTGGATGTCCTTCCCAAGGTGTTGAAGAAGAAGCGAACCGGCTAAGTCTCAGTAGCTTCTGGGGTCTCTTCCTCCTCAGTGGCATCGTGTGTTTCCTTGCTCTCATCCTTTTCTGCATAAAGGTATGCTATCAGTATGCCATGTACAGCAGCGCAGAGGCCGACAAGCCCAAAGAAACCGAGCCGAGCAACGGAAGCCAACATGCCCTATGCAAGTTAAAGAGCATCAAAGCTTTGATTCGCTTCTTCGACATGAAGGAAGAAGAAATCAACAAAGTCATCACGAAAAAACCGAGTGGTACACAAAATGGTCCTCAAACTTCGGATGACGGGCATTCGCTGCCATCTTCATAGAACGTGGTAAGAAGATGCAGCAATCTTTCTTACCAAAAGAACATCAGCTATTTTGCATTAGGAAATGCGATTACTTGGTAGACTTGATGAAGACTGCGACTGTGACTGTTTCACAAAGTGCGAGTTCTTAATTTGTCTTGAATCTCTTATAAAGCAATCCAGAACATACATATTTTCTAGTGCTGGATGTAACTCGATATGTAGCTGCAACAAAATCAAAGGAAATTTAAGCTGCACAAAAGATGATCGTCTTCTTTTGATGAAAAGAATGAGCATGTCGTGGAATTGCTACGTTGTCTCTTCTTACCGCTGCCCATCACCAAGGATCGCAGATAAACGAGACACTACTCTTACATCCCACGCGGATCCCCAACAGGTCCGGGAGGGATAGGAGGAGGACTCAACATGCTGGGTCCCAAATCAACTGGGCCCACAGCGGTGGCATCCGAGATGGAAGCCTGACGCCTGACAAGGGCACGTGCATGTGATTTGTTCAGCGTGCGGTCACCTCTGGCGTACTCAGGAAAATTCTGGCAAACGGACGAATACCTTCTCGAATGCAACGCCGTTATCTTTGAACGGCACCCGTGCCACGAGAGAGTAATGCTCGCCTCACCTACCAGCTACCAGCTTGCTGGTTGGCGAAGAAACATGGACCCACGCGTGAGTAAAGAACTGTAATGTTGGAATAGACGGATGCACGTTATTCCGACAGCGACGTCCTACCTTGCGCTAGCAGGATACGTCTCTTATATCGTCCGTCCACTTGTGCGGCGATCACTGGATGAACTCTTTTTTGGTAACATCACCGATGGGTAATCTCACGCGAGAAGATGGCTATAAATAAGGCTCCTCAGACCGATCTCAATGCGCTCTATTCAATATTGTCGAAAGGCTTCCAAGTTTTCTTCCTTTGCTTTAAGGTATGTTTTCGCCTTTACCTTGTTAGAGCGTTTCCCTTTTTTAGCCCTTTCTTTGCCTTTTTTTTATTTTTTTTCTGTAGCTTCGATGTTAATGGATGAAGGGGTAGATCGATCGTTTTCTTTCTATTTTATTGATGTTGTTGTTAACAGTTGTCTGATTCTTTGCCGACTCCTTTGAGAGATTTGGTAGTCGTTTGCGATTTTCCTTTTTGTGATATGTTAGTTGTTCTATAAAAGTCGATTCTTTATATTGTTGTGACACGATCTACCACGTCTTGCATATGTTTTCTTGTAGGAAGCTTCGTCTCAGATTTGAAGCATATTGATGTATCGCTTTTGATCATTTAGTCGAAGTGGTTGATTTTAATTTTAGGTCATTCATTTTTTTTCTTGTACACTTCGCATGATCCGTCTCAGATCTGATCAATTGTTGTTAGTCCTCTAGTCCTTTTTTGTTTATTAGGTCTGATGGTTGTTTGCTGACTCCTTTCTTCTTTTATCTCATTGATCAGATGCAGATCTTTGTTAAAACTCTC